AAAAGAACATTGAATGCAATAATGGGAATTGGGATAACAAGGCACCAGCATGCTTGGGTAAGAACATGATCATGACATACTATATTCAGCTGAAAACATTGAATATTTAGAGTAGGGTTTTATTGAGCATAGGTATTTCATTTTTTCTTTTTTGATTGATTATCGGAAGATGGCCCGAATAGGTATTTTTGTTTCCAAAGGAACATTTTTTATGTAGTGAAATGGTTGGCATGAATAAGAAGTTGGTACTAGGTTGAATGTGGGTGTGGTTGATTCCTGGATGGTAGTTGGATTTGAACAGAGTCGGCTTGGAAGTTTTTAATATCAAATGATAGCTTATCAATGCGACCTAAATGATAACAACGATCACTACAGTCAGTGAAATTAAATAATGTTTCTAATAGTTTAAACAAAATAATTTTTCTTGTCAATTACCACTTCATCTCCGCAAACAAAACTAACGCAATACATGGACATTGACATTATTAAACCAATAAACGAATAATATTCTTAACAACAAGTCAAAACCTGCAAAACGCTAAATAGACCCCGTAATTAAAACAGTAAACAAATGTAATCATCAGTTAAGTTAAAGGGACAAAAAACTTAAAACACACTCTTCCAAATGTTGAAAAATAATCGTTCACTGCATCTTTGTCAATGTCCATATAGTACACCAATGTAGATGGCATTTTTTTCCAGCAAGGTTATTTGAAATATTGTGTTTACCATTGACTGTGCGTTAGTAAGTCTTCTTCAGGTTGCATTCGAGTTATTTCTAGCAGTCTGTTTTTATCTGTTTCGATGGTGATCGCAATTGTTCGTTGGGATTTCCAGAGGGATGCACTAAACCAAGACATTCTCCCAACGCTTACGTTAGTCCAGCAAAAGTCTTTTATAACAATGGAGAGACTGTATGGATGTACTGTGGCGGGAATTACAAACTTATTGGAGACACAAGCGCACGTTGTCGCAATGGAAAATGGAGTAACAAGCCACCATCTTGCAAACGTATGTATTTCTGCAATGCCATGTTTTAAAATCGATAGAGGTGGGCTTGTACCACCACGTGGAGACGGCCATATTGGATGGGTGTCAAGCTCAGTCGTATTGGCATATTATGACAAAAAGGAAAGCTGTTCAATATCAGTTTTTTTAAAGAGCTGTTATTTTTTGATATAACTCCAAAAGAGGAGTAAAAAAGGTACCAGTTAACTCGTTTTTTGGAGTAGATTTAACTCCACCAATTTTAATTGCAACTGGGGGAGTAATATTGACTCCTTTTTTAAGAGCAAGTTTGAATCCCTTTTGGAGTAATTTTGATTGTTTTTGCAAGTTGATTTAAACCTCTGGAGTAAACTCCATCGGTGGAGTTATTTCACTAAATCCTTGAGAATAACAGTGTTCCAGAAATTCTTCCGTTCTGAGCAACCATCATAACATGAATACAAGAAATCACTGTAGGTTCTCATCCCAAAGTACAAAGTCCTATCAATATTATTTGCTCTCGTCCTATTTATATTATCATTCTTCTTCAATTACTTACTCTTATTCATGCACCAATGCAAATGCTTCTGTCCTTGATCGATTAATTTGACTGATTTCTCACACTAATTTTTGTGGGATATGTTGTTGGTACTATAGGTAAATGTAATAATCCTGGAAGCCCCTACAATGGATGGAGAAATGGTGACAATTTCTTTCAAGGAAAACAAGTTACCTTTGCGTGTGGTTATGGCTATAACTTAGTTGGCCTAAAAACACTGGAATGCTTGGACTCGGGAAAGTGGAGTGGACCTTTACCTTCTTGCAAACGTGAGTGATAAGAAATATAGAAGAGAAGCGCGTCATGATCCTCACAATAAGTACAACGAAAGATGACTAGCGTCCGGAGAGCACGAAAAAGGCAATCATTTAAATACGAAAAGGAAAGACTATTGCAAATAACTAATTCGCTCTCAGTCCCTTTCTGCTTTCATCGATTCCGCGTCAATTAATATGACCAGTAATTATTGAAGTATATTAAAGAAATGCTCTGCTAGACTTCTCACTAAATTTGACTTATTGTAACGTATAGGGCGGTGTGCTTATAATCGGCCTTCCAGTAGCAAGACTACTCCAATCATCGCTGATGGAGTGTCAGTCCGCCATGGCACCTCAATCGAATTTATGTGTATCAATGACTACACCCTTGTTGGACAGCAAACTGCAGTTTGTAGCGATGGCCTATGGGACCCCAGTATTCCAGAGTGCAAAGGTATTTTGATTCTTCTCTTTGTCTTTATCTACCCTATAAGTTATATATATACAGTGCTCATTGTCAAATACTAGAGTGAACTGTATGTGCACTATGACTACATCTATTATAAGCCCCTAGAGTGTAATAAACTTGTTCGTACCTCAAACATTTGATTACAAATGCGACAGACTGAATGTGAGCTTCGATCACCGTTATTCTTATCTACTGCCTTTTCGCGTTTTATGTATTCAACCAAACAGCACCATGTCAAGATCCAGGACGAATAGCTAATGGGATACAATTTGGAAATACGTTTACTCACAAAAGCATAGTAAGATATGCCTGTATTAAAGGCTACTCACTTGATAATCCAGCACCACTGATATGTAATGATGGACGATGGAATCGGCCTGTACCTTCATGTAAAAGTAAGTTCATATATTGTTTATGCATATTTGAGTCTTATTTCCAAGTTTTTAAATATACGAAGCCTGGTAATTATTCATAGATTTCTCTAAAAATGAATATTAATCTTTCAATCCCAGAGAAGTGTGATGATCCTGGAACTCCCCGAAATGCTATTAGAAATAGTAACAACTTAAAGCATGGCTCGCAAGTCTTATACACGTGCAATGGAAACACAGAACTTGTGGGTGAACGAAAAATAGTTTGCAATGATGGAAAATGGTCCAGTCCTCATCCAAAGTGTTTGGGTAGGTAAAACGAGAAACACACGAATAACCCGTCTCATGCTCACATGTATACTGGACCTCCTCGGTTTAGTRAGAAATGTTGGTCCCAAAAAATTCTCATTTCTTTCTGCATTATGTTTCTTTCCAAGAGTTGATAGAGAACATATAGAATTGTCTTATTCATTGCCCAAGTCGAGAAGGTCTACTCTTAGACAACAGATTATTTGAAGATATTGTTCAGTTCAGTTTAGCTTACGTTTTTAAAGAAATATGCCAATGGCCCAAAGGACCTAAAAATGGTCAAGTACGAGTGTCCAGGTCCARGYYTCAACCATTGTCAGGAGACAAAGCCACTTTTTCCTGTAAATCGCATTACGATTTGATTGGAAGGAAAGAGATATTYTGTGACAAAGGYACTTGGAATGGCACTGCTCCACGATGCGCAGGTAAGAATCTTACTTCTCAGGACAAGKCTTAGGAATCATCACAGCATTGTATGTGCAGCAGACATTCCTTTWATCAACAATATGGCAGTATAATACTCTTAATTTCAGAGAATTTTCTATAAATAAGCGTGGAAGCGTGGAGAGAATTTATTTCGATTAAAATTTTAAACATAACACAGCTTTAAATTGATTCATCTGTATGAATTAATTTTAATCTTAATTTCAGTTCAAAACGCTCCTAAGGTTTATTTTCTCACAATATTTCCGTATAAAACGATGTTAGTTTACACACCTCGAGTAACCCATATACAAGAATATTCTCAAATTGGTAAAAAGTATCTGATACATTCACTGATATTGCCCTTTAATGTAATTGTAGGTCAATGTGAGGTTCCAAATAACATTCAAAAGCTCCAACCATCAATTGTATTAAAACGTGGAGACTGGCTTCAAAATGGCACCAAAATTAGATTCCAGTGCAAGAACCAGGGGCATACATTTGTAGGCAGAAAGAAGATCACATGCAAAAACGGTCAATGGAATCATAACTTCCCGATATGCAAAGGTACCAAACTTTTAAACGTTTTATTTGGAGAAAATATATCTATTTGAGTTATATATGATTATTAGTATACTTTTTTGACAAATGTATRTGTATTTGTATTTGCAGTCCCTTGCAAAGAGCCTAGTGATTTTAGTGATGGAAAAAGAAAAGGCGATCAATTTAATCACGAGTTTAAATGTAATCCAGGCTATACGATGGTTGGATCATCAGTCATAAACTGTGTCAATGGGAACTGGGATGATGATATCCCGAAATGCTTCAGTAAGTAGGAAATTATTAAATTATTTTGGCTATTTCATACAACCTAGTTGCACTAACAACGCAGGTCATGAATRAGAGGAATAGGTTCAATTTGCGGTTTTCTAAATGAAAAGGCTTATAGTTGCATAACCAGCTTCAATAAATATGCAAAATTACATAGAAAATACTACGTAGCTGCGCTAACAAATGTATGGGTCACTGAACAAGTCAAAGTTTCTCTCCATTGAAATACCATTCAACACTTAAANAGAGCCTCGATTTCATGTTTATGGTCACGTGACCCCCCTAAAATGAGCTATGGTGCAAAACGAAGACTAACCTAGATATTCTGATCCATTTCAACTTGTTTAATGCTAGAGAAATGTAACATAGAAGCAATAAAAGCTAGAGCCTCGTTTTCATGTTGTATTTTTAGTGGTGGTTATTAAAACCCCCCTAAATTAGCCCGGTGCAACTTTCAAAGCTGGCGACAAGTTTCAACATGTTCTCTGATGTCCTCTTAAGATAACTAGACATGTCTCTTGCTTTAATCATCGATTTCCCACGGAAGTTCAAATTATGACATTTGCTCCCTGACTATTATAGTTGCATAACCAGCTTCAATAAATATGCACAATTACATAGAAAATACTACGTAGCTGCGCTAACAAATGTATGGGTCACTGAACAAGTCAAAGTTTCTCTCCATTGAAATACCATTCAACACTTAAARTTGCACAGTAAAAACTCTTGTGTCTTACCTTTCTTCTTCATAATCAATTTAATTTAAACGATTTTATCATTACAACGCTGTATGAATCTATATCCTGTAGTACTTTTTATATTGCATTTTGTATCATCRCTGCTTTCCAAAAATGTGTACGAAGCTAAATTTGTTCCTCTTTACTCATGTATTAGAGAACTGTCAAGATCTGGGAAACGTACCAAATGGGATTATTACCAACAATGGTTTTATCCACGGAGACAAAATATATATTCGCTGTAAAAGTGGTTTTAGAATCAAGGGTAGTCCTGAATTGAGTTGCAAATATGGAAAATGGACGAATAGAAAACCAAAATGTGTTGGTAAGTGATTAAATACATTTATACCCGTCGTATTATCGTTCTTATTATTTTTAAAACTTGTGGTGCAAAATAGGCAACACTGTTTTCGTGTATTTTTATTTATCTATAAAAACATCCTCCGTTATCCAACRAAAGTTACCAAATGTTTTTGTTTTGGATATGATTGATCCTTTACGGCATAGTRTATTCGCGAAATAATGTTGACGATGATGGTGTTTGGTGATCCAATATTTCTTGTATTGACCAGTGCTGCATGTTCGATGAGCTTAACAATATTTCCTATTTCACAGGTGTTTGCTCTAATCTTCGTCATCCAAAGAACGGTCAAATGTTGGATTTTAATTTCGACTATGGTTCTACGGTACGATTTCGCTGTAACTCTGGTTTTTCTCTGCGAGGTCCAGAAAATGTGACTTGTAACAATGGGAAATGGAATGGCAAAGTCCCATCATGCAAAGGTAGATATATTGATTAACTTTATTGTATTCTTCCATGTAGATAAAAGGGACATTTTTCTTTCTTTCTTTTTTTTTTTTTGACTCCTGTGCAGATCGATGCAATGGTTGCTTTCTTGTCGATTATTTGAGCATACTTGTGTTTTCTTCATCCTGGACTCTCCCCCTCTAGCACGTAATTCAAATGTATAACTGTTATGTTTAAAACTCTCCTTTAAATCTATCCTGATTGAATAAAAAGATGAAGTTCTTGATTTGCAGCTGACTGTCCAGACCCTGGAACTCCTACTAACGGAGAAAGACAAGGAGATCTTTTCACTCATCTACAGACAGTGAGCTTTTCTTGCCAAAACAATTTAACGATGATTGGTTTATCGAAAATACAATGTAATGATGGAAAGTGGACCGCTAGAATACCAGTTTGTACAGGTATAGTTTCAGATAATCTTCCTCATCAGCACTGATCAGTAAAATGACTAAAATAAAATAAAGATGGTTCTCTTGTTTAAAGAAGAATTTTTAAATTAAAAAAAAAATACAACTAACAAAATCAACACATTTAAAGAAAATTATAATACTTCTGAAATATAAATGAAATGTTAAAAACTGATACTGACGATACCGACCAGATCTTAAAATATGATTAAAAACCATAGTTTAATTAAAGTGTAGATCTATTACTGTAAGATGTGAGATTGTTCTGTTGTCTGAATGTTAATATTAAATAAATTATGAATATTGATTTTATACCTAAATCGATTCAACAAAGTTGGAGATGCATGAATGGATGATTGGATGCAGTTGAGAATTCGGATAATTGACTTGACATGAACGGAATGAGCAGATTGTAGTAGGAATGATAATTGCCACAGCGCGGTCGTCAGTGCGAGTGGCCCAAGTTCGATTATCCTTGTTTCATCTTCTTCTCTCCTTTCCGTTGTTGTCTATATTTAGGAAGGTTTGAATCCTTTAAATGAAGCAATGATTAAAAGAGTGCGTAATTATAAAATCTAAGTTTAATATATGAAAGAAAAACTTTTTTTCACGTTTGTTTTCTTTAGAGTGCGGCTCTCCACTTGGAATGGAGAACGGAAAGATTCCAGATAAAAACATTCGAGCTTCCTCAAGTTGGATCTGGCGTCGGGATGCAAAATACGGTCGATTGCATGGTTCAAGGGCCTGGTGTTCAGGACCTTTGAACAAACGGCCTTATCTGGAAGTAGACCTTAAGAAACCTTACAAGATAACGTACATAGCTACACAGGGAAGTCCACGTGATAACAAATGGGAGACGAAGTACACTATAAGCCATACTTTGGCAAAGTCATCATTTATCGACTACAGGGAAAATCACAAAGAAAAGGTAAAAAAGCAATTACAAAATGGAAATTTAACCAGTAAAAGCAATAAAAACCAAGAGAGAAGACGCTTTGTGACAATTCAAAATTATGGTCTTATCTATTGTCCATTACGTAGATTTGGTTTTGATTTTTAGGRAAAGTCTGAACAAAAAGTCTGATACTACATATCCTTTTAATATCTGAATACCATTATTTATTGTAATGTAGGTATTCAAAGGCAATAGCRATGCAACAACTGTAGTCAAACACAAATTGAAGAATCCGTTCATTGCGAGAAAAGTACGTTTTTACCCAATTGGTTGGAGATTTCTTGGATATCTGTTCAAAAGAGCGTGTATGCGAGTGGAGATATACGGATGTAGCCTTCCTACTGGTAAGCATTCCAGTTATAAAGTTCTAAATAGGGGGAGGTCTCAGGACCAATGAATTATTATCTCGTGTTTAGCTTTTAGTGGCATTGTTTTCAAAGCTAATTTTGCGAGATCTTACTACAACTGACAAATGTGCATCTGTTGTCATTACAGATTGTGTGATGGTTGGTTCACGCGTGCTTGGAAAGTGGGACAGTATATACCGTGGTGGTGAAGTTTACTACAAATCGTATGTAAAAACCATCGCTGACAGATACGATGAGGTTGACTTAGAAATAGAAGATGRCAASCATCACGACGATAAATTCAAAACAATATCAAAGACACATGTTGTACTAGACGTCCCTAATAAACACTTGAACTTACCAACTGGCACAAGAGTATTGGCACCAGAAGGCAATAAGTACTACACAGGGACCATTGAAAGCAATCGTGGGCATTATTATGGAGTACTCTTTGATGATAATACACATGCTTGGATTCTTAAGAGAGAAATACGGATACATAAACCTACACAGTTTTGTGAGGGATAACTTTGACATTTTATTTAAGAAGTAATGGCGATAAAAAAGATTAATCATCAAATTTTATAGAAAAATAAAAATCGAATACATCTGGTTATTGTTTCTCTTAGACCATATTATTCTTGGGATAAGGGGACGCTGACTGGTTTTAGTGTCTCAAGGAAAAACAAAAAAATAAWATTGGGCCCATGAACAGTGTGTGCCACAGACTATTTACTATTACGGTTAGGTTTCTATGTATTTCGGGGTATTGTTTAGATTTTGCATTATTGTTTAGATTTTTTTGTTTTTGTTGAATTACGCAGTCTGCATGCTTCTGTTATTGCTATGGTAAACACCAAAGGAACCATGAAACACGATAGAGTAGACATACTTTATCCACCCTTCGTATAGCCTAAGTATCAGGCTCTCTCGAAGGGGATTGGGGTGGAGCGACAAGGGAGAGAGAGCCTGACACAATCTTCTATCGAGAGCCGTGTTCTGCGGCCGTTTCATGGCTACCCTTCGTACAACCGATCTCCGTATCCTTGTTTAAATCGCCTTTATTTGAAACAGTAGAACAGCTATTCTTGTTTGCTTACAGTCATAAATATCTCAGATATTGTCACTAAAATAACTATTGAATCAATAAAACCTAATAACAGTTAGAAACTAGACTCCCTAACTATTACAGTGTTTATAGGTACATTTATAGCTCATGGGACTATATATGGTACAAGGAAGAACACACTGAACGCTCACATTTGTGCCAAAAAAGTTAATGATTACTATAATAAAATAAACGATTGAACGATATTKGACTTGGGCCATGATCCGATCATGGCCGGGCCCAAGTCAAATACTGAAAGCTTGTTTCAGGTTTGCTTCAGTGTTTTTTAACTAGCAATGGTTGAACGTAGTAGAATGACAGCTAAATATCTCTCAAGGAGCCATGGGTGAACAGTTGATTGATTGAATTGCAGCCAAAAAATGGTTTTGCAAGTCACTGAACAGAGCGTACGATTAAAAAAATCAACAAACTGCAAAAATATGTTGAATTATGTAGTGTGGTGATTTATATCAAGGAACGCACCGCCTTGATTCAAGTAACCGATACTGTTTACTGCAATTAATCGGGAAAAATAAGGGAAAAAATTGAACATTGAGGGGCATTTTGTTTCCAAATTGCAAACATATTTTCTTGTCTTAACTTGATTAAAAGGAGGTGAACCTCTATAAGCAAATAAAAATTGTTTTTGTGACTTCTGACATTGCTTYAGCAAAAGCTCCTGTTTGTTGAACGAATTACTGTATGTAACAGTGGTGATTTATAACAGATCACAAAATTCGAGCAATCGACACAGCTACTGCTTCATCAAGAAAAATGATGGGAAAAGAAATTGAGCACTGAAAACTGTATGGTTGTGATTTGTTTCTAAATYGCAACCATATTTTCTTGTATTAACTTGATTAAAAACAGSTGACCCTTTAATAAGGAAGTAAAAATTATTTTTTTCACTTCTGACATTGCTTCAGCAAGAGTTCCTGTTTGTTGAATTATCATCATGTGCTGTGTCAGTACGACTGACACTGTTTCAGCAATGTAGTTCCTGTATATCTGATTTGCTGTGGGGATAAATAACGGGACCTTGTCTCTAGTCAACACTGTTGATCCAGAGTCTAAGAAGCTCTGTTTTTGAAAAGCAAAAAAGGGAACACATTCAGTTCTTGTTGAACGTAATTKTTGAAGGTAAGTTGATATTTTGCTTGCTTCAAATGGTAGTGCTTCTTGTTTTTGATCGGACGGACTAAATATATATCGTCGTCCTTCTCTTTTTYTCAATTCAATCATGTTATTTTCATTTCCTCCCCAGTTATGGGAGCAAGTTTTTACCGCAAATTTATCCACATCATTTTAAATTCTCAAAATCGCAAATGAACTTTTAAAACTTCAGATAAGCACGATTTTTTGACCCAATTACTTCATATCATGGAGCTTCTTGTGTGTTTTTTTTTTAACTTTATTTCATTTTTCAAAGTATAATATCGTTACAGATTAAAATGGGAAAACTTCTCAACTTGATCGTCGTTACTGCGGTGCTATCGCAAGTGAATTTTCAACCAGGTGGGTGTGGTACATCTTTCAATCAATTTTATCATGACTGTACATGTTATGTGCACAATGTGTGCGATATACGAGTTGTTTTTAATGTCAGAGCATCTGCCTTAATATTAAATGCGGCGGAAAAATCATCAGAATCCTGAACATTTAGGGTTAGAAAAAAAATCATTTATCGATTATAGATATTTAGTATAAATTTAATTTCCTTTTCTTGTCGGCGCTCTTGAAGTAGTATCAACAAGAACCAATCAGGTGCCGTGTTATTTGCGGGTGCGTTGTAATTGGTTGTCTAAAAATAGATTATCGTGACGTCTGATTGTGACGAGATGGACACTTCTAGTTATGCACTTCTGTTACGTGACAATGCTGTATGTGAAGCAATGTTTCTTGTCTTTGTTGACCAGGCCTGATCCCTGGTATGAAAAAATCATATGAACCACCCATTAAGGCGTATTAAACGAATATCTTGTTAACGTTAACGTTTTGATT